TATAAAAATTTTTTTTTTGAAATTTTCAAATTTTGACCCGGCCGGGTTATGAAAACCAATTAATTAATTTTGCATGGTCTTATATTCGATTTTTATATTTAACTCTAATATTACTAATTATATTTGCATTAATTATATCGTCATATTCTCCTAAACCTACATATCCACCACAATTAACTTTGACGCAATCACGTGCATCACGTGAGCATTTCGCTATACCCTTTTGACAACTCTTTGCTACACTAACCCAATTATTCACCTCTTCAACCACATATCTATTTTGGACATCTGGTATTATGCCTCGAACAAAGTATAAGGCAGTTCCGAAACTATGCTATTATATGATTGTATATATACATGTGTGCATACTGTATTTATTTTTGAATATAATAGCTACATTTTTTACTGGCGCAAAAATTTTATTCTTTTTAATAACCGTTACTAAAACTTAAATTTATTACTAAATAAATAAAAAATAAATATTTGGTTTTAGTTGTATTATAATGGTCTAATTTTAAGTAAAAATCTGATTTTATATATAACTCCAGATCTAGTGGTCAGAGCTAGATAATTTTGGTACTATTCAATTCGTCTTGAAGAGACGAATCGAATGGTATCAAAATCATCCAATTCCAATCATTGGATTATGAGATATCTCACTTGACCACAATACTCCCTGTCCACAATACCCGCCTCCCTTATAATTTACGAATATTTTTATAATAAAATAAATATAGTTAAACATGTGATCATCAAAAAAAAATTCTTTATATAAACAATAATCATTATTTTTTTAACTTTATTTATATTACAACAAATATATATAAAAAACTTTTTTATTTAATAAATATTTTTGATTTTAGTTTAAATTATGAAGAAGTATTTTCAATAGTTATCTTTCTAAAACTTTTTATTTGGTTCATTTTATACAAAACTTTTTAAAAATAATTTATTTTGATGAAAGACTTTGTATACTTTATAGCCAAAAAATATTTTTTAAAGATATTAAAAACTTTTTTTATTGTTTACTAAAGCTATAATATACAAAAGCTTTCAAAATATTTTAAAAATATATAAAGGTCTTTGTTTCTATAAAATATATTTTATAATATTTGAAATTTTTTTTTAATATTGAGGTAACCACTTAGGCCTCTGGCACTTTATTAGTTCAAATGGGTGGGCCAATATCCAAAGACTAGCTTACATATTACATCAGTATCACGAGAGTACAGCTAGTTGTCTATTTAAGTAGTCCGCCCGAAGCATTAGTGCTATACTAGGGGTTCTACACTAGATGCTATACATATAGCCTAACTAGGAAGCTATTTATTTAAACTCTCTGGCTTCAACCAATGTCACATGTTTTCTCCTAATATACCCCTTTTGGAAACAGTAATTTACCATGAAAGACCTTAAGACTTTAGCCAACAACAGAAGGCATTTATCTTTGTAGTAAACTCAACAGAGTGGTACATGTCCCACACACATATTCACCTGCTTGTTCGGTAATTTCTATACTAGTTAGTACATGTTGTGCTGCTGTCACTGAGTTCGTATCTCAAGTCAACTTTTTGGGGTGCTGCTATAACCCGATCCATATCTCAAGCCACAACCTTCCTAATTAGTCACCTATTACGTACTCCTTGCCCTTGCAAGGTTTACAACAACCCAGTACCTGCAATCCAGCTATCTCCTTACCTGGAAGCTTCATCGGTCTCTCTCGCAGTTCCAGCCAGCAACCCGGAAAGGTTGGTCTGCCCAGGCTTTAGGTGCCTAAAGAATGCCCTCCTCTTGGTTCATACTTTCGGAGTGTATGCTCTTTTCCTCTGGTGCGTCTAAACCAGTAGTTCGGCTGGTGTGTCCCCCCCACTAAAGGACCTGGTCCTACAGTTCTCCAATCTCAGGTCCCAGTTCGAATTCAGCCATCATGTGATACCGTCAAAGATCACTGCTACTCTCAACTCAGGACTTGCCAAGCAGGTTCCAGAACTTTCTCGTTCTTCAGTATTACCAACACTACCAAGACATCCTATATCTGCTCGGCAGTACGCAGATGCCCCAGCAGTAACAACTTTTCAATATAGGGTATTGGTGTGACCCGAGGTTACAAGTTAATCTAAGCCCCAACTTAACAAAGATCTGTTACCGTAATGCAAGCCTATTTTTCAAACTTTTGTCATCAGTGGGATTTGAACCCTAGACTTGCCACTTGGAGAGGGTGACGACTTGACTACTTCACTAAGCTGCCACACCTCATAGCCACATGTTTGTTTATAAACAAATATGATATTACTTCATAAAATTTGAACTAAGAACTCTACTTATAGCAATAGATAGCTAAAGATATAGTTTTTAGAATAAAGCTATTCAAAGTTGGTAAAAAAATCAGAAAATAAATATAATAATAAGGTAAAGCTTTACAAGAAAAATATACAAATATTGTATTTGTTATATAATTTTTATCAGCCTTGCATAGGTTATAATAGTACTTTTAGAGTCTTAGATTTCTTTTTATATTTTTTTTTTTTATAATTTGTTTCTTTTTTGTTTGTTGTTTTTATATTTTTGTTGTTTAAACTTTCCCTCTTTTGTCTCATGCTCCTTGAAAAGAAGGAAGAATTAGAAAGGAAAAAAAGGTTATAATATTTTAGAAGCTGTGTTTAGGCTAGACTATATTTTAAATACATCGCATCAGGACCTAAAAAACTTTGATACAACTCATACTGTATGTTATCAAAAAAAAAATTTTGCATTAAAATTCATCAAATATTGCATATTTATATAGTAAATTTTTAAATTTAGTTCTATTTTATATATTTATTTAGCTGAAATTATACAAACTTTATACAAACTTATATCTAAGTTGTATTAAAGATCTTTGAAGTCTTGTCATATTATATATAGGTATAGTAGGACTCTGAAGATTTTTAATATAACTTAGATCTAAGTTTGTATAAAGTTTGTATAATTTTAGCTAAAAAGATATTTGCTATACATAAAATAAAATTTTTATACTATAAAAAAAAAACTTACTAATATAAAATAGAACAAAATTTAAAAATTTACTAGGAGGTGTGGCGGCTTAGTGAAGTGGTTTAGTTGTCACTCTACCAAATAGCAGGTCTAGTGTTCAAATCCCACAGATAATAATTTTAAATACTAGGCTGTATTATAGTTAATGACTACTTTAAAAATGGCTTGAATTTACAATTTGTAATCTTAGATAATATTATCTCAAATAAGTAATAAGCTATTGCAAAGTGGTAGAGCATGGGCCCTATATCTGTATACAAATTACACAAAGAAATGTATTCTAGTAATTATTGGATGCAAACTTTATGATAAGTCAATGCTATGTAAATCCTAGGAAGCTAGAATAACTGAAAATCTATTTGAAAGAATCCAAGTAGAGAGGTAATAAAAACTTTTAATGATGCTGCAGAATAGAACTTGAATAGCACTAGTCCTGGGATATTGTTTGGCTTGGATTTCTTAGAGATGAGGAGTTGATCAGGGTAACTGCTAAAGTCACACTAGAAAAAAAAAGATATATGTTATGAAATCACATATCAGAAGCTCAGAGTTTAAAAATACTTAAAGCCAAGATAAACCAAACTCGTTCCAGGTCTACTAATTGGAAAAATGTTAAGCCAGAGAGAAGAACTCAAAAAAAAAATAATGTGGGTATTGGGTGGAAGTAAACTCTATAAGAGCAGGGAATATGTAAAGGTAATATCCAAATACTAACTTAGGTTTAAAGGCATAATATAATATCTTTCCTAATCTGGAATGTGTAGAACATAGAAAGGTTGGTAGGCATATGCAGTTTACGCCTATCTTAGGTAAAACAGAAGGTTTGTGCTAAAAGTTTACTAATAATAAATAAAATAGATAGCAGTGCTAGATATAAAGATACTAGAATTATATAATATATCAGGTATAGACCAGTTAAATTAAATTAGTCACTGTAAAATACAATTTGTATTAGGTTAATTGACTTTAACATCTAAAATATCAATAAACTCTAGTCTTTGGACACTTAACAAAAAAAAAATAAAATAAAAATTTACTATTAGGGTTCTGCAAATACCCATACTAGGCAAATTAAGTATCAGGCTAGTACTAATATCTTGAATCATATTTGTGTTCCTAGGTACAAAATTGCCAGACACATTATAGGTATGGGCAGGCACTATAAGGACACAAATACAAATATTGCAGGTACTAAGTGACAACTTATGTCTAGTACTTCATATCTTTACTTATGAAAGTTCTTGATTATATTTTTGTATCTATACTTATACCTATGCCAACTCATGCCAAACTTTTGTGCTTGTGTCTATACTTATGTATACTCATATCTATGTTTGTGTCTAAGATTTTGTGTCTGTGTCTTGCCTATGCTTTTTGTTAGACATGGGTATGAGCCCAATCTGCAGATCTCTATTTACTATATAAAATGCAATATTTGATGAATTTCTATGTAAAATTTTTTTTTTTGGTAACATATGAGTTGTATTAGAGTTCTTTGGGGTCCTGGTATAGTAGCTAATAGCAATGCAATAACCAAAATTGGGTATTTTTAAAAAACAGCTGGCTTTTAGTTAAATATATCTATTAAATAGTTTAGTTTTGTACTAAGCAGTAAATATTTAATAAAAAATTTTAATATGTAGTTATTAAAGGAAAAAAAAAATACTTTGGCAATTCTTTTTAAACCTATATCAGATAACATGATAGCTAAAAAAAATTAAATAATTATCAATACAAATATTTATACTAGATAGTATATATTGTAATGTGCCAATGGATTGTTAATGCCTGGGAAAATATTCTTACTAAAATAGTCAAGAATTTTTTAAAAAATATGGCATCTTGAATAAGTTTAATAAAAGTGAGATTTGCTTTATATATAAGAAAAAAAAGAATAATAAGCCCAAAGAACTATTTGTTGTTTTAACAAATAATTTAGAAAGCAATCAAGAAAATGCTTAATTAGCTTAATATTCAATTGCATAGTTAATTTATTGTTAAATTTTTCTGCAAAACTTAGTCTTAAATATTAGAGTAAATTTCTAATTAATATTGTTTTATAAATTCTTATTTCTTGTATGTGTTTAGCACAGCATTAAATTATCAAAAATGAAATAATTATGTATATACATAAATATTTATACATGCAGTTGCTTATTTACAGAACAAATTTTTAATGTAAATGTGCTTATTTACCATATGTGCTTACTTTTCATACTTTATGGTAGATGCTGGGTATAAAAGATAGCTAAATATGATATGGGATCTTTGCTATCAAAATGACCCTCCAAGGCTATGTTGATTTTGTGAATAAAAATTAAAATTGCCAGCCATCTAGTAATCCAATTTGAATAAACTTTTTTTATTTTGTAAATCTCAATAGAATCTACAAATTAAAAAAAAATTCATTCAAATTGGATAACTAGATGGCTAGAAATTTTGATTTTTATTCATAAGATCAACATAGCCTCGGAGGGTCATTTTGATAGCAAAGATCCCATATAACGATGTTAAGTACAATTATAAAATAGTAAAAATATAGCTGAGAAATAATTAATAGTGCAAAATAATGGATAAAAAAAAAATATATAAAATTAAGCAACAATATAATTTAATTTCACAAGAAAATAAAGGTTTAGCCCTTTTGAAAACTAATTTATTATAATAAGTTACAGCAAAAGCACTATGGGTATCCCCATTTCAGAAATTTTTAATTTTAAAATATACTTATACTGTATAACATTCCTGGTTTTAGCGACTGCATCACGTAGCTACCCTAATTAAATACTCTGGCTATACTGACTATTGGTTTAATCGACATTTGGTTATATCGACTACTTTTTTTAAATAAGTTTGTAAGTGTAATTTATATAATAGGGTTTATTATTTTGCCAATTTAGTGCTCAAGCACCTAGATCGGAACTCAATTTTCAATTAGTGGAAAATAGTTTGGCCAGTCAAGTAAGTTTATTATTATTATTGTAATGAAAAAAGAAGATATTTGAGACTAGTAATTGGATACAGGTAGGCATCACCCAGGTTACTCGTGGGTAGATAACCCGGGTGCAAGGACATGTAAAATTTTGAAAGAAATCAAAATTTTTGTCAAATTAAAAATTTTAAAATTAGCAAAATATTATTAGATGGAATAAATTTTATACTAACTTCTTTGGACCTAATTATCTAGAATATAATTTTTCTATTTACATTTTTAAATGAGGACAGAAAAAATTTGTAAAAATTCTCATTGAACGATCAATATTTTAAATATATATAGAATTGAAATTCTTGTTTAAACTAGTTTGATAAGTCAAAATAAATCGAAATTGCTTTTTTGCTTTAATCGAAATTCGAGTAATACCTTTTATAATCAATAAATAACTAGTTCCCGTGGTACTAGGGAAAAAATATTAGCTATATATATAGTTTCAAATTAATTTAAAATCAGATAATTATTTGATTTGATCAAATAATTCAAAAATATTTGAAATAGAAAATAATAGTTATACATATTACATTATAAGTAATTTATTTTTTGTTTAAAGATATGCTTAACCGACTCTTGGTTTTTTTTTTCAGGTAATGCTATATTTTAAACTATATTCTGATTAGGAACCTCAGTGCAATGCGAAATAAAATATAAATTATACGATGCGATTGGTTCAAATTATGCGGCTAATGCTTTATGTTCAGAAATTATGCGAAATTATATTAAATTATGCGATTTTTTTCGTACCATTAACTATGTGATAAATATACTCAATTTGGATTAGTCAATTTCCTATATAAAAAAAAGGATTGGCTATTGCCACCCTCTAAATTTAAAAAAGTAGACCAGAAGAGGTATTGTTATTAAGTAAACCTTAATAAAAGTTGTTTATCAGGCCTTTCCGGTTCTAATAGTAGTAAAATCATTAAAAATGAATTGATGGTTTTTTTTTAAAAGCATATAAAAGTTAACTAACTTCAGATATATATATTTTAGAAACTACTGGTCCAATTTTAATGATTTTACTACTATTAGAACCAGAAAGGTCTAATGAAAACTTTTATTAAGATCAAAAGAAGAGTTTACTTAATAACAATATCTCTACCAGAGCACTTTTTTAAATTTAAGAGTGGTATTAGCAAAAATGGGGTGGCGATAGCAAATCCCTAAAAAAAATTTTCAAAATTTTTTATAAAAAAAAACTGATCGATTGGTTAAAATCGACCAATCACAGACACTATTTTACTATTATGCGATTTGGGCCAAATTATGCTTCGCATATGCGATGCAAAAATTGGCTCATTATGCGCATCGCATCACATCGCATAAAACTGAGGTCCCTAGTCTACATGTCGGATAAATACGTTATATAAATGATCCTGACTAAGGCCATTCTCAAGCACCTCACTCAATGGATCGGGCGTAAATTTTTAATTAGCCTGAAATTAAATAAATCAATTAAGTGAGTTACCAATTCGATCAAAAATCAGCGAGATACAAACCACATTTTTTAACCACAAAATTTACCATTGATAAAGATCGCTCAGGCACTACTTTTTTATTTTAACATATCAAACATAATAAACAACGAATTAACAACAAAATTCACAACAAATTTCCAACCACTTTAAAAAAATAGCCATTTTATTTTTAATGCTCGAAGCTTTTAA